GCGCCTCAATTTTGCTGAGACTGACTTTGAACTCAAGATCCTCCGGCCTCAGCCTCCCCAACCACTGGGATTACAGACTTGCACGACCACACCTGGCCACCATGTGGTTTTAATCTTTTGTTCTGTAATATTATGAGTCTTATTGATTGATTTGTATGTGCTAGTTTTTTATGCCACAGATAAATCCCACTTGTGTTTTGTTTTTATTGACATTGTTTCTTTGTTTGCTTTACTAGAGATCAAAACCAAGGCCTTGTGCATGCTAGGCAAGCACTCTACAACTAAGCTAAATACCCAGCCTTTATATTTAGGGTCAGGGTTTCACTAAGTCTCACAGACTAATTTTGAAATTTCATCCACCTGCTTCAGCCTCCTGAGTAGCTGGGATTACAGACATGCACACCAAACACAGGTTCCCAAATTCATAGATTTTTTTTTCTTCTGCCTGAGCTAATCTACTGTTGAAATTCTCTCCTGCGGTTTTAATTTCCTTTGTTGAATTTTCAGTTCCAATATTTCTCTGTGGCTCTTTTGTTAAGTTTGCTGATTTTCTCCTTTGCTCATTGTTATTTTGAATTGCTTTGGGTGCAGTTTGTAGATTTTCATTTCCTTGGGGTCAGTTACTGGAGGTTCCTTTGATAGATTCCTCTTTCTTTGCTTCTTCACACCTCTTGAGTATACATGTGGCTGTCTGCATGTTAGCTTTGCAGATTATCTTTTGTGGGGAAAGACTTTCACTTCAGGTGACTACAAGAGTGCCACTTGAACAGGGTGGGGTGGCTCTGGTTTTAGGTAGGCATAATGGTGGAGTCTTAATGTAGCTCTGTCAGCTGTAATCAATGTGCAAAGTCTGAATGTGACTCAGTGGCCTGCACTGCAAGAACCTGTGGCAATAGCCATGGCAACACAGATGGTGTCTTGTCTGTAGCTTTTAGATGCCACTTGGGTTCCAGGGTACATATGTTCAGAGTGGCTGCAGAGCCAGGATCTTGGACTTAGAGACTTGTGGAACCAACTTCTGTGGCACTTAGGAATTTCTGGTCCATGAGATCATTATATGTAGGTCACCCTTACAGCCCTACCCTGAGACTCTGAGGTGTACCCTAGCAGCTGAGGCCCAGGGAGAGGACATATAGCTATGGCTCTGACATGGGGTGGAATGGGGCAAACCCTCGAATCTATGCTAAAATTTACATGTTGTAAACATAATCCCCAATGCTGTTGACACGTGGGCCCTCTACGTGATGAGATCATGAGGCTTCTGTCCTCATTAATGGATTAATGCTGTTATTACAGGAGAGAGTTAGCATGGGAGTGAGGTGCTGATGAGTTTGGCCTCCTTCCCACTTGTCTCATATTCTGTCTCTTTCATGTATGCGCTTTACTTGTTTTTGCCCCAAGATGATGCCCAAGAAAGCTTCAGCAGACATACATCTCTAATCTTGGACTTTCTAGCCCTCAGAACCATAAGAAATAAATGTTTTCGTTGTTGTTGTTGTTTTAAAAAAATTACACAGTCTCAGGTATTTTTTTGTAGCAGCACAAATATGGACCAACACAGTAGGATTCTGTGGAAGCCCAGGCTCTGGGGGCCATGGTGCACCCGCAGCAAAGACCTAGGAATGATGGGCCACAGGTGTGGCTCAGGCCTCGCAGTTCCCATCTCAGGAACAGTGCAGTGATAACACCTTGTCCTGAGAAGATGGGGCACCACAGCAGTTCAGGCCTCAAAGATGGTATGGCACAGAGATGACTCCACTCCCGGGAGGCGAGTGACTCAGCAGCTCTGATTCCAGAGTGCAARTTTGGTTCTGAGGAAGAAGGGCACCTCTGCTCTTTGGCCTGAGGAGCAGGATGGACTAGCTCAATGGGGGCTCTGCTTCCCTGAGAGGTGGGCACGGTATCATATTGGCCCCAGGACACAAAGTTGCATAATTCAGGCAAAGCTCTGTTTGGGGTGACACAGGAACTTTTTTAGACTGATATTTTCTCCCTATTATTAGAAAATAGTCCTTAAGTGTTATATAAATGAGAAGTGTCACATTTTCTGTTTCCTGCAGACTTATATGATACCAAAGCCCTACAACTCACTGTACATCAGGCATTCTGGATATTTTGTTCATTTCTTTATTTACTTAGGTACTGGTAATTGGACCATGGTGTGCTTAACTACTAAGCCACATCCATAGCCCTTTTATTAATTTTTTATTGTGAGAAAGGGTCTTAACAAGTTGCTTACATCTGCACCAAGTTGCTGAGACTGTCCTCAAACTTGCGATCTTCCTGCCTTGACTTCCCAAGGTGCTGGGATTACAGGCACATGCCACCACACCAGCCTATGCTAGCAATTTCAAAAACATTGAAGAGCTTGTGTCATACATGAGTAGGCTCTTCATAAGGGTGATTTATTTTACCTAACACGTTTGTCCCCTTTTTCATCCCATATTCCCCTTCACACTTTTTAGGTTTGTTAAACCTTTGTTTTCACCTTGGAATTMTTGGAAAATCTTCTATTTGCCCCTTTTATTTAGTCTTGCAGCAACTTGCCCATCTCTCTAGTAGTGGTTGTCATGTCTGCTCCTTCTGGCTATTTAATTTACTATGCCTGTCCAGTTGATTAATCCCTAGTTGTTTATACTGTGCTTGGGCTCAATGTAAACAACCATATATTTAATCTAGTTTTTGACATTTAATCTAGTTGCTAACACATCGTCAGTGACATTTTGTAGAATGATTGCAAGACTAATAGGTAACTATGCAATTAGCTCTTTTGTCTTGGATTAACTGTAATGTAGAGAGGAGACTTCTAAATGGACCCTAAATGGAATAAGTTCATCTCACCTCAATGTATTGAAGATAAATCACATTGAAAATAGTAAGTCGGGCTGGGGATATGGCTCAAGTGGTAGCGCGCTCGCCTGGCATGCGTGCGGCCCGGGTTCGATCCTCAGCACCACATACAAAGATGTTGTGTCCGCCAAAAACTAAAAAATAAAAAAAAAATAAAAAAAAAAAGAATGGTTTTAAAAAAAAAAAAAAAGAAAATAGTAAGTCACTGAGTATCTCTATCCACACATCTACTGAAAGAATTATGACTTATAAGGTTCAGACACACTCCCAGGAGCACACGCTCATTTTTATTTGTTATGTGCTGATAAGAAAAAAGAGCATTGCATAAGTATCAGAGATGAAGGTGTTTGAACTCTTGGTAAAGTAGTCAGAGAAGCTCTTTATGACAAGATAACAAATAAGGAGTCATACTAATATAAAGGACCTTTCTATTACTGGGAAACAGCAAGGGTGAAATGCCTGAGGCATAAATGCTTTGGTGCTTTTAACACTGAGGATGTGTTTTTGGCCTGGGGAAAATCAGGCAAGGACAGATGGTAGGTTACACAAAATTGTTGCTAAAACAGGCCTCCATTTCTCTGCCTTTCCAGTAATAGTAAAGAGAAACAACAGTCGTTACATATATGAAATTTATCATGTGACGTGAACTACTTGACATTATTATGAAAAGATCTTACACCATGTTACCAAACTCTGTTCTTTGTTTCTCTTTTAAAAATTTTGGACTGGGTCTATTATCATTTCTAGATAGTCAGTATCCATTCTATTTCAACCCTTCTTACTTGGCCCACTTTTAATCTTCCAATCATGTAGGAATCTGAGCAGGAGGAATCTCAGAAGTCAGGACAGACAGGAGCAGGAAAACAGATGCTATGGCTGCAGCCATCCTGGGGAATGTAAAGGAGGAGGTGACCTGCCCCATCTGCCTGGATCTCCTGACACAGCCTCTGAGCCTTGACTGTGGCCACASCTTCTGCCAGGCCTGCATCACTTCAAACTATGAGTCCATGATGAGTCAAAAAGGGGAGAGCAGCTGCCCTGTGTGCAGAATCAGTTACCAGTTTGAGAACCTACGGCCTAATCGGCATGTGGCCAACATAGTGGAGAGGCTCAGGGGCGTCAACCTGAACCCAGAGGAGGAGCAGAAGGTGTATCACTGCGCACGCCATGGAGAGAAACTCCTACTCTTCTGTCAGGAAGACAAGACAGTAATTTGCTGGCTTTGTGAGCGTTCTCAGGAGCACCGTGGACACTCCACGTTCCTCTTGGAGGAGGTTGTCCAGGAGTACCAGGTAAGAGATCAGGTGGGGGGAGGACAGAGACAGTGTCTCTTCTAATTTCATTGTGTCATGGAACCGATGCCTGTGATTTGTTTCTATGCTGTGCTATGCTTACCTTCTGAGGCCTAAAAGATGTGTTTTTATCTTCACTTAATTGCTAAGCCTGGAGTAGAAACTCTTGGACAGGGAGCATAAAAATACTGTGCCTTGTGCTAGATGGGTAGAGATTTCGAGTCCAAGAAAAGCTCTGAAGGCTTTTTTCAGCAGAAGAGTGAAGGAGAAGGGTTGGTATATGAGTTCTTTCCTTGCTGCAACATCAGGTTCCTCTTCTAGTGCAAAAATATTTAGACTACTGTTGGTGAGAGGTTGGTAACTTTATTACCAGAGACTTAGAGAAGACACCTTCCACCACAGGATTTCTTCCATTTCATAGATTACCATTGTCTGTTCACACAGTTTCAGAAAGCTCTAGTTTCTTCTGAGATCAACCTGATTTCTTCCAGGTTTATCCTCTCTCTAGGTCCTGAGAAAGTTCTTCCCTTGACTCTGGTGTGATTCTTTTCTCACAGGAGAAGTTTCAGGAAATGTTGCAAAATCTGAAGAGATCCAAGGAAGAAGSTGAGAAGTGGAAAGTTGACATCCAAACTGAGAGAACTTTCTGGAAGGTAGGAGGAAATACTTTCTGAGGGAATTAGCTAGAACTCTGGGCAGGATCTTGGGAAGAAGGGATTCTTCTTTATTTCATGTCAGTCTATAAGGTGGAAAGCATTTGAATAATCCTCTTTGCCCTTTTCCTTTTGGAGTGGAGGCTGGAGAGTGGGTACATCACAAAGGAATACAGCTGTTTGGAGAGAGCTATTCACAGGGAGGCACTCCAGTGAGGTTGGCTTGCATCCTGTTGCTGTGGTGCTTTTTGAGACTCTGATTCTACTAAAGGAATACTTTGGCAATGGGTCATGGTTYTGTCTTCAATGTTCAGCTTTTGGCAGAGGTTCAAGAGTGGAATGAGGAAGTTGTAGCTGGAGGGTGGGTATCTCCAAGAGTTTAGTGGTTCTTCACTGTGCCAATACAGTCGCCACCTTTTTTCTTTTTAATTCCTTCCAAACCACTTGCTCAAAGAATAAGATGCCCAAATAGCACTGGTTGGACCTACGGGAGGATAACTCCTCCAACCAGAAGCCTGSAGGGAACAAGAGAAAGAAGGACTGAGAATTTGATAGAGGGCTTAGAGAGCAAGAGAGGGAGAAAGAAAGCCAGAAAAAATTGTGAGCTTCAACCAATTGCTATGCTTATCAGTGCTGTATTATCACCTTTGAAAGCTTCTCATTTATCTCATTCAACACATTCTGCTCATTCAGAGCACACACTGGACATGCAGGACACAAATCACTTCTGCAGTGTATTAATCCACTCACCAGTTTACCCCATACACCTTGATACTATGATATTCTAAAGAAATGACTTCAGCTCTTTATTTGAATAGGTTTACAGATATGCTGGTTATTTGTTATTTGTTCTGGTTGGTGAGACTGGCTCTGGTAAGACAACACAGTTCCACAGTTGTGTGTGGAGTATGTGCGATCTTCACCAGGACCCAAGAGGGGAGTTGCCTGTACCCAGCCCAGGAGAGTGGCTGCTCAGAGAGTTGCTGATGAAATAGATATGACGTTGGGCCAGGAAGTTGGTTATTCCATTTGATTTGAAGGCTGCAGTAGTGCAAAAACTATTCTTAAGTATATGACTGATGAGATGTCACTTCATGAAGCCATGAAGGATCCCCTCCTGGAGCACTATGGTATAATAATCATTGATAAGGCTCATGAAAAAACACTGGCTACATATATTCTCATGGGTGTTTTAATGCAAGTTGTAAGACATCAATTGGATTTAAAGGTTATAGTTATGAATGCTACTCTACATGAGGGAAAATTCAGATTTACTTTGATCACTCTCCCCTATTAATTATGCCTAGTCTTATACATCCTATTGAGATCTTTTATACTCCAGAACCCGAGAGAGACTATCTTGAAGCAGCAATTCAAACAGTGATCCAGATACATATGTGGGAAGAGGAGGAGGGAGATCTTCTACTTTTCTTTACCAATCAAGAAGAAATTGATGAAGCCTATAAAAGAATACAGCTTGAGGTTGATGTTATGGGTTCTGAAGTTGGTGACATTAAAATTATTCCACTGGGCTGGGGTTATGGCTCAGTGGTAGAGCGCTCATCTAGCACTGTGAGGCACTGAGTTCAATCCTCAGCACCATGTAAAAATGAAATAAAGATATTGTGTGTCCACCTACTTCCACCATGCGACCAGCGCACTGGTTTCATTACAGAGGATCTTGGCATAAAAGTTAACTAGTGATATCGAAATAAACACACAGACTCAGTTACCTTTTTCTATGACCAGGTCTGAGACGGCTCCCCCTCTAGTTCCCACTTCGAACCACCCGATAGGGCAGCAAGGATTACTCAGGGCCAGCAGGAGAGAGAGAGAGGGAGCATGCCAGGGAGTAGCCTTTTATTGGGGAACAAGAAATTCAGGGGAGAATTCCATCCAATGAAGGTTGAGGGGGGCCGCACTCCAATGTCAGGGTCAGTGATTGGCCCCCGGGGGCAGTGGTCAGTCACACCCCCACACGGACAGGCTCTCGCACCAGGAGAGGGTCGGGAAAGCTCCGACACAGTTTAGCCAGAGCGCCTCAGACCCAAACCGGGAGTTGCCCAGTCACGTGTGAGAATGGCTCCCCACAACCTACAAATAAAAAATAAATACTTAAAAAAAAAAATCATTCCACTCTTCTCTGCACTTCCACCCCAGCAGTAGCACCCTCCACCTCCCAATAAATAAAATGGAATAATTGGAAGAATGGTGGTCATGTCAACTAACATTGCAGGACATCACTGACAYCACTGTCACTCTTTTGGTGACAGCAATTAGAGCAGCTTCATATCAGCTTCAGAGCTGGTTGAGCTAGACATACCAGACCTAGGAAGTGCTTCAGGATTTATACAGAGAAACATTATAAAACAAGAATGCAGGATAACACCTATCCTGAGATTGTGCATTTTAATTTAGCATCAGTGGTGTTACAGTTGAAGAAACTTGGTTTTGATGAATTGGTGCATTTTGATTTTATGGATCCACCAGCTCCTGAAACTCTGATGAGAACCCTAGAAATTTTGCATTATCTGGGTGCTTTAAATGATGTTGGAGCTCTGACTGAATTGGGATCCATGATGGCAGAGTTTCCTCTAGATCCACAGCTTGCTAAAATGGTTATGGCAAGTTGCAACTGAAAATGTTCTAATGAGATCCTATCTATTACTGCTATGTTGTCAGTCCCACAGTATTTTGTTTGCCCCATGGAGGCCAAGAAAGCTGCAGATGAGGCCAAGATGAGATTTGCCCACATAGATGGAGATCATCTGACCCTGCTGAATGTCTATCATGCTTTTAAACAAAATCATGGGTTGGTTCAGTGGTGTTATGGCAACTTCATCAACTACCAGTCCCTGATATCCACAGACAATGTACACCAGCAGCTATCTTGAATTATGGACACATTATGGACAATACTTCTATGCCTCATAGAAGTACTGACTTTATGAACCAGGACTATTATATTAACATAAGAAAAGCTCTGGTTACTGGGTATTTTATGCAGGTGGCACATTTAGAAGGAACAGTTTAGAATTTAGAATTTCACTTAACTGTGAAAGGTAACCAGGTCATTCAGTTGCACCCCTCTAGAGTTCTTGACCACAAGGCTGAATAGATGCTTTATAATGAGTGAGTTCTAACAACAAAGAATTACATCTGACATGTACAGATATCAAGCCAGAATGGCTGGTGAAAATTGCCCCTCAATATTATGACATGAGCAGTTTCCCACAGTGTGAAGTAAGGAGGCAGTTGGACTACATTATTGCCAAACTTCAATCCAAGGAATAGTCGCAGGACTGAATTCCATGCTTAGAACTGAAGTTATTCAGAGGAGAGCTTTAAAAGATGAATGAATTCAAAAGTTCAAGTTGTGCTCTTCATGTAGGTTCAATAATGACCTTTGGCCGGCTGTGGTGATGCACGCCTGTAATCCTAGCAACTCAGGAGGCTGAGACGGGAGGATGGCATGTTCAAAGTGAGCTTCATCAAGGCGAGGCACTAAACAATTCAATTAGACCCTGTGTCTAAATAARATATAAAATAGGGCTGGGGTTATGGCTCAGTGTCAAGTGCTTCTGAGTTCATTCCCTAGTACCAAAATAATAATAATAATAATAATGGCCTTTATTTGAAAGCTTTTTAATTTTTCTTTACAGTAAGTATTCCAATTTGATTTCATAGATTTAAACATTTATGCCTCCCCTTTGTGTTGACATGCAAGGTCATTGTAATTGTTGAGATTGATTTTAGAAGTTGTAAAATGTTACGTCTTCTGCTTATGTAAATACMATCTTCTGTCTCAGTACATAGGCAGTGACTTAAAAAAAGTCTATTATAATTAAAAAAAAAGAAAGAAAGAAAAGAAAGTGAAATGAGGAGCAGATATGAGTGTCCTGGATAGCTGAAGCTGAGGCACACCCAAGTATCCCACTGCAGCTCAGGTTGAGTCTGGACAATGCTGACTTAAGGTCATTGTTTTGGAATGTCATGAAGGAAGGGAAAGGGAAAGATCGGCCTGCCTCAGAATCTCTCCCTCGGTTCCAAGACTATCCTGTGAGAACTCCCCATGTAAAATAGTTCTTTTATGGTTTCTATTCCCAGTCTCTCTCTCTCTCTCTCTCTCTCTCTCTCTCTCTCTCTCTCTCTCTCTCCCCAAAGAACAAAATAAAGAGTGAGGTGGAAAATGTCCAGATAGAGTTTGGAAAACTGAGAGACATCCTCCAATCTGAGGAGGAGCAGGAGATTCAAAAGCTGAAGAACGAGGAGGAAGTTATTATGAACAGCCTGACAGTGTCTGAAAGTGAGCTGATCCAGCAGAGTCAGTTGGTGAAAGATTTCATCTCAGATCTGGAACATCGGTTGGAAGGATCAACAGTTGAGATGCTGCAGGTAAGACTTTCAGCTCCTCTGGGCCCTGAAATGCCTCATTCCCAAATCAATTTATGAGGCTTATGGAATAATCAAATGTGTAAATGGCAAGGAAAATAATCCAATTTTTATTATTGTATCAAGTGCAGTTAAAAAGTTAAACCTTGGAGGGAAGATCCACTATAACCAGTGATATTTGGTAGGCCCTGTTTTCTGTGATTTAATATTGAGGGCTTTTTTTTTAATATTTAATATTTATTTTTTAGTTCTCGGCGGACACAACATCTTTGTTGGTATGTGGTGCTGAGGATGGAACACGGGCCGCACGCATACCAGGCGAGCGTGTTACCGCTTGAGCCACATCCCCAGCCCCTTGAGGGCTTTTTTAAGCATCTTTTCCTCAGCTTCGTTGCTGACAAACAAGTAGCCTCTGGTTACAAGAGATGTTTCTATCATTTCCCTCATAGAATGAGTTGAAGCTTTCCCTTTTCTGAATTTCTGGAGGGGGGGGGAGGATTGGTATTATTTCTTCATTAAATATTCAGTGAAATTCACCCGTGAAGCCATCTCAGTCCATTCTGCCCTTTTGGTGCGATACAAATTTTTAGACTTTTTTATTGGTGTCTGGCTGTTTTAGATTTATACTTYCTGAGTCTGTTTTTGGTCATTGATGTCCTATAGGAATTTGTTAACTTCATCAGATTTTCAAATATGTAATCCTAATTAATCATAAGAATTCTTTTTAATCCTTTTAATGTCTATGTGTCTGTGTATTGACTCTATTTTAATTTACAGAAAATATATATATTTATCACATATGTACCTAAGTCTCCCTGCCCTTCAGCCCCTGACTACCCCCATTTTAAGTCTCTACTTGTATGAGATAATTTTCTGTCCATTCCTCATACTTAAATGAAATCACACAGCATTTATTTCTTTGTGTTTGACTTGTTTGATTTAGTGTAATCTCCTGCAGGTTCATTTCATGTTGCTGCAAATGACAGATTTCTGTCTTTTTTAAAGCTGAATAGTATTTCATTGTGTGTGTGTGTATATATGTGTGTGTGTGTGTGTGTTTGTGAGAGAGAGAGAGAGAGAGAGAGAGAGAGATTTTCTTTATCCATTCATCCTTTGATGGGTGCTTAGGTTGATTCCAAAGCTTGGCTATTGTGAATAGTGTTTTAGTAAATCTGAGAGATATCTCATGGACATACTTATTCATATACTTTGGATATAGTCCCAGTTGCTGGGTGGCTAGATCATTTTTAATCTTTTGAGGAGCCTCCAAATTATCTGTCATCATAGCTGTGCTCATTTACATTCCCCCCAACATTATGCCAAGATTTCCTTTTCTCCGTGTCCTTCCAATGCTTGCTTTTTCTTTGTGATAATAGTCTTCTTACCAAGTGTGAAGTGGGATCTCTCAGTGTAGTTTTAAATTGTGTTTCCTTGATGATTAGTGATTGTGAGCATTTTTTTCATATACCTGCAGTTTGTTTGTCTTCTTTTGAGAGGTGTCTGTTCAAGTCCTTTGCAAGTGTTTAAATTGGACGTTTGTTTTTGTGATATTCAATTATGTGTTTATTTGTGTTCTTTATATATTTTGGATATTAACCCCTTAAAAACATATGCTTTGCAGATGTATTCTCCATTCTGTAGTCTGTCTTTTCATTTGGTTGATTATTTCCTTTTCTGTGCAGAAGCTTTTTAGTTTGGTGTAATACCATTTTTCTAATTTTGTTTTTGTTGCCAGGGTTTGGGGTTCAGTCAAAATATCATTACTCAGACCAATGACATGGAGTACTGCAGTATGTTTTCTTCAAGTAGTTTTACAGTTCCATGTGTTATGTTGAAGTTTTTTTATCTACTGTGAAATGATTTTTGTATGTGGTATGATATGTTCTTAATTATCATTCTTCTGCATATGGTTATCCAGTTGTCCGAATGTGATTTATTCAAGAGACAGTCCTTTCTTCTCCGTACTTAACCCCCAGCACTATGGGTTGACCCAAGGGGCACTCTACCACTTAGGTACATCCCTAGCCCTTTTTATTTTTTTTATTTTGAGACAGGATCTTGCTGAGTTGTCTAGGCTGGCTTGAACATATGATCAAGTCACTGGGTTAGTGGGCATTGCCGCTATGCCTGAACCTTCTGTGTACTCTTGGTATACTCAACTGACCATAAATACACCTATTCCCACCAACCTCCAGACTCCCTATTGTTTTCCATTGACAAGTGAATCTGTTTTCATTGCCATTGTATTGTGTCTTGATTAGCATAGCTTTGTTATAGATTTTAAACTCATTGTGATGCCTCCAGCTTTGCTCTTTTAACTGAATTTGAAATATTTAGTGTTTCTCTATATCAGTTTTTTCAACCCATTAACACAAGATGTCTTTCCATTTTTTGTGTCTGCTTCAATTTTTGTATCAACTTTTTTATAGGTTTCAGTGTATACATTTCTCACTTCCTTGTTAACTTTAAGTATTTTATTTTATTATAGCTATTATAAGTGGGGGTTTCTTCATTACTTTTGGATAGTTGTTAGTATAGAAAATCAGTTGACTTTTGTATATTGATTTAACTTCCTAGAACTTTACTGAACTAGTTTATTTATTCTAAGATTTGTGTGTGTGTGTGTGTGTGTGTGTGTGTGTGTGTGTGTTTGTGAAATCCGTAGGGTTTTCATTTCTGCAAACAGGAAAAACTTAACTTCCATGTTGGATAGCTGTTTCTTCTTTTACTTGCCTAATTGCTTGGGCTAAGACTTTCTATACTATGTTGACAAAAGTGGTGAAAATGGGCTTTTTCCTGATCTTAGAAGAAGGGTTTTCACCATCTCACTGTTGATTATGATATTACCTCTGAGTTTGTCATATATGGACTTTATTTTATTTTATATTCCTTGTGTAATTAATTTGTTGAGAGTTTTTATCATGAAAGGATATAGAACTTCATGATATGCTTTTTCTGTATCTTTTAAATCATTACATAGTTTTTGTATTACATTCTGTTAATGTGGTGCATCACATTTAAAATTTGTATGTTGAAGCATCCTTGCATTATGAGTTAGGGTCTCACTAAGTTGTTTAGGACCTCACTGAATTGGTGAGGCTGGCTTTGAACTTGTGATCCCCTGCCTCAGCCTCGAAGTCCGCTGGGAAAACAGGCGTGTGCCACTGCACTTGGCCTTTCTTTTTCTTTCTTTAGTCAGTTTAGTTACATTTGATCACCTTTATTAACTCTTAAAGAACATTTTTTTCATCTATTGTTAGCCTTTTTATGTCATTTATTTTTGCTTTATGTTTATTTGACAATATTGTGATAAGGATATGGAGACCATAGAATCCAGTGCAGTCACTGATATAATTGTGTTTTTATTTACTATTTTGTTATTTGTATTCTATATTTCTTCTGGAGTTTCTTGGTATTTTTCTTCTCTTAACTGCCTTCTTTTTTGTTGAATAAATATATTCCAGGATAGAAATTTAGTCTTCCTGGTTTTCTAGCTGTATTTTTTGTTGTCTTAGTGCTTGATCTGGTGATTACAAAATACACCCTATTCTGTCTCGATCCTACAAAATATAGAAACTTGGCACTAATACTTCATTTCCTGCCTCCTTCTTTGTGATCTCATTGTTTTATACACACACACACACACACACACACACACACACACAATATACATATGTAAGTTATCAAAGTGGTACTTAATTATTGTGTTAATATATTTCCAAATTATTAAGAAGTAATTTGGGAAATGAACTATAGAGTTTTTTAATAGTTTATTTTTTTCTATGAATTTGACCCACTTGTTGAAGGAATTTTGGTTGCAACTGAACGTCTTCAAATATTGTGCCATGCACCATAGCACATGCCACAACCCCAACTTTTTGGGAGGCTGAGGCAGGAGAATCGTAAGTTCCATCAAGGTCAGTCTCACTAACTGAGCAAGTCAATGGGTTCAATCCCCAGTGGACCCCCTCGCCCTCTGCCAAAAAAATCCAAAAAAACAAAAAGAAAAAAAAATCTTCAAGCTCATGTGCCAACAACACACTCTAAACTCTCTTCTGGTATTACATCTATTTCCCTGCATTTTGAAGAATTTTCTTTGCCTCATGTGGAATTCTGGCATTTCCCTCTTTCTTTCTGTCTTTTACTCAACTTTGATTACCCAGAGGCTACTTATACTTGGCAAATAATAGTATATCAGTTTATGTAAATGTTGAATAAGTGAAAGAATTGTGTATTATTTAAATTATCTCATGGGGAGCCATGGAATGACTGGCTTGAACTTATCTTTTTTTTTTTTTTTTATTTGTGTGTGTATGTGGTGCTGAGGATTGAACCCAGGGCCTCGTGCATGTGAGGCAAGCACTCTACCAACTGAGCTATATCCCCAGCCCTTGAATTTATCTTTACTATTTTGTTCATCACACTGTGACCATCTCTGTTCTCAGCAGAGCAGGGGCTGGTGACAATGTGATGAAGCTTGGTCAGTGAGGACAGTCTGTGATTTCTTAACTTGTGTTTTTCCCCCCTTCTTTCTAGGATACRAATGATGTCATGAGAAGGTATGTGTGGGATACCAGGGATGATCCTTTTGTGTAGTAAGAAGAGATTTGTAGTTAGTAGAATTATCTGGCGTTCAGTTAGAATACAACATCTCCCAGATCAGGTAAATTTAGATATAGTATTATMTTAAATTTATAGTCACAAATCACGATTTGAGTATTGTATAGACTAGACAGATTCTATGATGGGGACTTGGGTTGTGGAGGTCAGAGTTTGAAACAGTAGWTGTCCTGGGGATAAGATGTTCCAACATCAGGCCCCCTGTGGCACCACCATTTCTTGCCCTCATGTGCCTACTTCTAGCTCTGGTTGCAGTTTTAATGGCTGCTTTATTTACTGTAGGCAAGATTTTTCTTCTTTGTCTAATGAGTACTAAGAATTACTCACTGGGACAATTCCTGGATGTTTGTATGTTTCTTCTGGGATTAAAGGAGACCAGAGGCAGCTTTGTGATTTCTATTTAGATTTTTCACAAACAAACTAGAATCTCTGGATTATTATATAATCTTGACTGAAGTTGAAGTTGGTCTGACAGGGATAAAGTGTATGAAAGAGTTTCTGTATGTACAAGCATCTTCCAGTTGCATGATAAGGAGGCTGAATCGTCAGGAACTAAGTTGAAGGTGCCAGAAGGCACTGCCTTTGTGTGCAAGGATAGCAGCACACCAGAATCAGTTGATCCATGTGCATGGAATACTTTGGGAAAGGTGCATATTTTCAGAAATATAGAATTCAGACTAGTATGAAGTTTGTGTTCATAGATTGCCCTTGCCAAATGTTTGACATTTTTCCCCAGAGAATATGAAACTTCAGATATCACCTGAGGGCTTCTCTATTAGTAATAAGCTTTGAACATTTCCAGATATGATTCTTACATTTCTTATTTCTCAAATACCCAGGAGCCAGAACCTGCAGTCTTAGTTTCTGAACATTTTCTCCAGAACACACATTCATAGCACTGATTTTCCTCATATTCTTTTTTCTTAGACACCAGAGTTTTGTAAAATCCAATATTTCACCATTGACCATGCATTCTAGGAGGTAGAGAGAGAGGAGCAACTTGATTCATTTTAGAAATTATGCTTCTGAGATGTTAAGCCCCTCACAAGATCACAAAGAAAGTAAATAGGGAGGTGACCATGAAATATTTCTTAGGAGTTCAGGGTTAGGAATCTTCCCTTCCCTTCTCAGGATCCTTGGTGAAGAAAGTTCAAGTGTATCAATGGGGTGAAATGATGGGAAGAAATTGTTGTCAGGGTGGGGACCACAAGGTCTGAAGTGTGGGTCAACTTTTTCCATCCCTAGGTGTAAGGACTTAATGCTGAGGAAGCCACAAACTTTCCCCAAGGAACATAGAAGAGTATTCCAAGCTCCTGATCTGAAGGGGATGCTGCAGGTGTCTCAAGGTGAGAAGAGCTAGGTTAAGTGTGTGATTCTAGTGGTGGCAGGTGATAGATGGGGAAGAAGGTGTGGTTTCTAGGTA